CCGGCGCGCAGGAAATCGCCCTTGCGCTCCTCGGAGCCCGTGCGCACGCGGACGCGGGTGACGTGGGCTGGCTGCTGGAAGATGATGGAGAAGATGCTGCCGGCTGCTGGATCTTTCCCCCAAAAATACCCCCCTGCTGTGCTGTAAGCCTTGATGGGGTCGTAGTTCTCGAAGACGGACATGCTGGTGAACAAGGCGGCTGGCGGGTTGTCCGGAAGGTCCAAGGCATCGGCCTGGAACTCGTCGTCCTCCAGCCGATTGACGGTGCCCTGGAAGGAGGAGTAGAGGCCCATGTGCTGGAAGAGGGAGGGCTTGAAGCGGATGACATCCTTCTGGGTGAGCAGGAGGCGGAAATGGACCAGCAGCCAGTCGCAGGGCATCTCCTGGTAGAAGAGGAGGAGGAAGCAAGCCAGGCGAGGAAGGTCGCTGGAGCGGTAGAGCTTCCCAATGTAGCCCAGCTTGGAGAACTCAAGGGTGGCCCAGCTGGAGCCTTCACGGGAAGCCAGTGCCTTGCGGATGGCCGTCAGGAAGGACTTGGCGCACCACACGTCGTCCTCAATCATCAAGTAGTAGGAGGAGAGGTTGGCAGCGAAGGCAAGGAGGAAGGCGTAGTCCACGTTCTGCTTGGACCTGAACCTCACCCGCTCCTCCGGGTCGTTGTAGTTTCTCTTGAGCCCCTCCAAGGTGGGGTAGAACTCCCGGGGAGCGTGGATGAGCAGGAGCCGGCCCAGGAAGATGTGGTGAGCAAACTTGCGGGCGATGTCGGTGGCCACACGCATGTTCCATCCCGGGTCCGCGTCGGCCAGGTGCACCACCACCACCATCTCCTGCAGCTCCTCCTCCGTCGACTGCGTGAAGAGGGACTGGAGTGTGGCAGGGAGGTAGTAGCCACGCGGCCGCCGCACCGATGCCAATCCCACCGCCAAGAATTCTGCAAGGCAAAGGAAAGGCCGAGGGGTGACCAGGGGTGCGCCGTGGTGAGGTTTTTCCCTGCAAGCCACAAGGAAGGGGCTCCATGAAGCTCTCCACGGGACCAGCCCACGCGGTTAGTGCTGTTCATGGCCCCATGTCCAAGGCCAGCAGGTCCTTGCTGAAGCTGAAGCCCCCAGCATCTCAGGAGGGGCCTGAAACTGGACCAAATGGTAAGGAGAGGACAGGATGAGGAGTCAGGGACTCCTCTGAAGAATAAATATTTGGGAAAAACACCTTCAAAAAAGCCAAACTTGTGGAAGGAAGAGTGCAGAGACAGCTTGTGGGGCAGGGATGGCTCCATGGCGTGGCTGCACATCCTGGAAGCATGCCCCTACCCTACTCTGAACCTTATGGAGGTGTAACCACGCTGGGATGAGACATCCCTCAGCCCTCCCCACAGCCCAACTGTGGTGGCATTTGTTCAGCTTTGCTGCAGCTTCTCTTGCTGCTGGCTGTGCAGCACTGTGCATGTACGGGACCTCAGGTTTCAGCGTGGGCTCACGGGGGGCTGCCCAAAGCTCCTTCCCATGGTGCCTGCACGTCAATTGCTTTTCATGCACCTGTCCAAGAGCCTGACCCACATCCCCCACCCTATGCGGTTGTCCCAGGGGTCCAGCCCCCCCATCTCCACCTTCCTGACTGGAGAGGAGGAACCTCAGCCCCAGGGAGATGGGGTCTCACCACCCTCCCATGGAGATCTGAGAAACCCCAAATCTCTACAGTCACCCCCAGTCCCAAGGACTAGAAGCACAGACCACACTTGGAGCACGTGGACCTTCCTCTCCTCCTCCACTTCCCCAGTCAGAGCAGTGAAGGCTGGCTGGGGGAAGGTCACCAGGTATCGGCAGGTCCCCCATCCCAAAAAGGCTGGAGCTGACCCCTCCCTCCCCCGGCAGCAATGGGGCAGGTCCGTCCTGGGACGTGCAGCTGCGATGGGCGAGATGTCCAAACCCAGAACCCTGCCCAGCCCGGGGTCCCAGAGCCACTCACTTTTGTGGGGTGACAGGGAGCCAGCGAGGAGGTGGTAAGAGACATTGCGGAGTGCGGAGAGGTCACTCGTGTCCCTGAGGATGTGCCCAGCTCCTTCTGGCTGCAGCAGCTGCAGGACTGTGTCCGGGGCCAAGCCCCTGAGCTCCACCTGGG